TACATTATCTTGCAAGACCCTTCCATTGTTAACATTCTCTTCACGACTGAGGTCTGCAGCTCTGGGTGTTCCCATTGACTATGACTTTGTGAGCACTGTTCAGTGAACAGCTTGGCCTGACAAAGACAAATTTATGACTTTCTTTAAAACAAAAGATTATGTAAGTCTCATCAATAAATAATACATCTAACTCAGTAACATGCCTCTTACCAAGTGATATATCAAAGAAAAGTGTATTAGTTACCTATTGCTACGTAACAAATTTCCACAGATGTGGCAGCTTAAAACAGCACCCAACTATTATCTCCGTTTCTGTGGATCTGGAACCTGGCAGTGTCTTATCTGGGTCCTCTGCTTCAGGATCTGTCATATGGGTGCATTCATGGTGTTGGCCAGGTCTCAGGTCTTATCTGAAGGCTTGCCTAGGAAAGGATCCGCTTCCAGGCTCATGTGATTGTTGGAAGAATTTCAGTTCCTTAAGGGTGGAGGGCCTCAGTTCCTAGCTGGCTGTTGGCCAGAGGCCAGGCTCAAGTCCTTGCCATGTAGACCTATCCAACATGGCAACCTGCTTCGTGAGAACTGGTAAGGGACAGCATCTGCTAGTGAGGGAGGAGTCACAGTCTTATGTACCCTAATGATGGAAGTGACATCCCATTACCTTCTGTTGGTTGTAAGCAAGTCACTAGGCCAACTCACACTCAAGGGGAGGAGGTTACACAGGGCATGAATAGCAGGAGGTGGGGTCATTGGGGGCCATCTTAAAGCCTGCCTGTCACAAAAATTCTTCCCCCCACCCTGCCCCATGGAAGAAGAGTTTTAAATCCTGAGCTTCTCTGATATACTTAAAGGTTAGTTTGTCAGAAATAAAAAGTGACAACTAAATGCAGTGTGGCATCCTAAATGGAGATCTTGGTGATGTTTGAGTAGGGTCCTTACTTTAGTACCAGTGTTAATTTCCTGGTTCTGATAATTACACTGTAGTTATATAAGATGTTTGCTTTGGGGGAGCCTGGATAAAGGCTATATGGAAACTTTCTGTATTGTTTTTATAACTTTTCTGTAAGTCTCTAAAAGTAGTCTAAAGTAAAAAGTTAGATAAAATTAGCTACAGGGATATATTGTACAACATGGGAAATATAGCAAATATTTTATAATAACTATAAATGGAGTATAACCTTTAAAATTGTGAATCACTATATTGTACACCTGTAACTTACATAAAATTATACATCAACTGTACTTCAATAAAAAATAAAAAGTTAGAAAAAAGTGATATATAAAACATAAAAATCCGTTAGCTATTATATAAGACTACCGTGTGGCTGTAGCTTATTCAATAATTTTAACTTTATGTCTTTATCAGAACCGTTTTGCTGATAAAAATCTATAAATTTGTGGGGGAGGGGAATGGGGAGATGTTGGTCAAGGGTACAATAAAGAAAAAAATCTAATTTTTTGTAAATAAATATAGAAATTTTAGTAGATAAATTTGCTTAAAATTGTATACGTAAAAATGTAAAATAGATAGCTAGTGGGAAGCAGCCACATAGCACGCAGAGATCAGCTTGGTGCTCTGTGACCACCTAGAGGGGTGGGATAGGGAGGGTGGAAGGGAGATGCAAGAGAGAGGAGATATGGGGATGTATGTATACCTATAACTGATTCATTTTGTTATACAGCAGAAACTAACACACCATTGTAAAGCAATTATACTCCAATAAAGATGTGAAAAAAAATTTTTTAAATAAACATCTTTGTCTACAAAAAAAAATTATATAGGTAAAATTTACAATTTTTTTGTAGGTAAATAATTTGAGTAGCCTTCCTAGTGAAAATCCCCTAGAAACCTCACTATTACTGTATAATAGAATTCTTTATATTTGTTCCTATGTATTTGTTTCAACACATAATTACAGAGGTGAGGAAAGAATTTTCGGCTTAAGCTTGAGTTGAAATGTTGTAGGGACTTTTGCACAACCCCAAATGCACTTCACACATCACTTAAAGTAACCATATTTCTTAAAGTAGTAGCCTGGTAGCCCAGTCTGGCCCCTCCACTGTGCTGAGCACTGTTTTCAAGATGTCAATCTGCTTGTTGCTTGGATATCAGCACTTATATTTCAAAATAGTGTGGTCTGTCTCACGGCACCGTTCCATGTGATGAAAAGCAAAATGCTTCAATCCCTCGTAGGCACTTGAATTTCATGCAAAGCAAGAACAAATGGCTCTTCATTCTGCTCAGTGCTTGAAAGGGCTGCTGGTTATTAATACTCTATCACTATTTCACATGTCCTCGTCCAGCAGTTTAAAGCCTCTGGGTCTTGGTTGGTTACACCTCTTTAAGAGAGCTATTTGGAAACACTCTAGACATTTTTCTTAGGCCCTATTTTTAGAATGGAAAGCCTAATGGTATTTTAATGTCTCTCTATATTTCCAGAACAAGTCTCGAGAAAAAAAATGTTACCTTTTGAAATTTAGCAAAGCTGGTGGGATTATCACCACTCCTCTGAGAAGCATTGTGTTAAGGAATGAATTTTGATTTACAGATCCAGCAAGCTATCTTCTAATGATGCCAAAAACCTCTGGGAGGGTTAAGTGTCCATCTGTTATTTTGTACTACTCTGTGTTATCTTCCTCTCTTTTCTTTGAAAGTCTCATTGTGATCAGCTCACTTGGGGAACGTAATTTTGATTGTAGGGAGGGAAGAAAAGGTTGAGGAGCAAGTAATGCTCTTGTGGAGGTGGCTGACCAGGTGGGGTGCTGGAGTGGCGTTGGACAGGATGGTGTCAGTACACAGGTCAGGGAGTAGGTGGCAAGGAAGAATTCTGAAGCCAAGCCTAGCTTATTTTGTAGCTTTGTTGTGGGCTGTCTCACACCTGGAAAAGAAAGAGAAATGCCTTCACCCTTTCCTAGTGTTCCTTAGCCCCTTAGGCAAATACTGACTCATTGAAGGTTAACTAGGAGTTTGTAGAGTGAAGGGAGAACCCAACCACTGTGTCTGTGGTTGGCCCACGGGAAAGTACATATCAAGTTTTGAACTAACGTTGAACTATGCTTTTGGAGCATACATTCCTAAAGTAAGGACTCACATGTAAAAGAGTAGTTAATAGTCCTTGAATCAGTCTGCCTGGGTTCAAATGCTGGCTGTGATACTCACTACCTCAGTGATCTTGGACAAGTCTCTTATATTTCCTGTGCTTCAGTTGCCTTTTGCGTGTATTAGGGATGATAGTAATGGTATCTATGGTACAGTACAGTACTATAGTGCTGTAGTGAGAAAGAAATGAGTTGATGCATGTGTAGTAGCACTTAGAGCCTAGCGAAGTATAAGTATTTGCATAGGAATTCTGTGTTCTCCACATTCCTCAACCATGTTCCCCAGTTTCATTTGAGAAAATATAGTCTCTAATGTCTTTGGAATAAGATCTAGGAAAGGAAATCTTTTAAAACAATGTTATTTAAGCGATACTTTGCATCCTATGAATATCTAATATATTTCCTGAATGGCAGTCAGGTGTCCTCTTTACACTGAAACACTTGCCTGGACTAATTCATATTTTATGTTCTAAAGCGAATTCTTTCAAATGCAAAACATCTTTCTACATCTTCACTAACAAATTTAGCTACATATTAATGTGGTCATGTGAATATCAGGATTCTAAAAGATACCCAGTTTTAAGGCGAGTTTCTGAGAAGGTCAAAAGTGTTTCTATCTGAATGTAACTGTTGAGTACCCCTTTCTCACATTTTCATATAACAAGATCTCACTCTCAAGATTCTTTCACAGACTCAGTCACTTCTATTTTAACTCAGTGACTGGCGCATCCCATTATGTTTCTGTGATCTATAGAAATTTGAATGGGGAATTATAATTACGCTTTAAAGTTCTTAAAGCCTAATTATTAGATCCTTATATGAGAATAGATGATATGCAACAGTAGATAAAGCATGGATTGAAAGTTAAAACATCTGGATTCTCTTCCCGCTTCTTCCATTAGGAAGCTATGTGTGTCTCAGAATCTCCCTGAACTTATCGTAAATGGAGGATTTGAATGAGGTGTTGTTTAAGGTTTCTTACAGATCTGATACTGTATGATTCTGCAATAGCTTATTGACCCTACATTTGTGAAGTGTGTGCTTTGCTTTGACTGACATGTATATTTTCTTTCCCAGTTTTCTTAAAATCATTTGAGATGCCTTTGCTAGATGACCAGCCAGGGTGAGAGATGCAGTCTATAGCTGCAAAGTAGAAAAAGCCATCTGGGTCTGAAAGAGAACAAGTCCGTGGCCTTGACATTGCAGCATCCCTGTCCCCAGACACAGAGCCGCAGATCCAGGAGTGTTTGATTGAATGTCAGATGAATAAAGACAAACTCCAGGGTATCATTACTTTACTGTTAATGGGCAGCTGTTTGTGTTTTTCTGTTTTGCAGAAGATAACATAGAAATGAAAAGATAAATAACTGTACAAGTTTTCAGAGTTGCCATTTGTTTGTATAATATTTTCTTTTCCAGAGAGGCAGTGGAGGCTAAGGAACAGCTTTCTCTCTGACTGCCTCTCAGAGGTACTTTGAATTTCTCAAAGGGATGATAAAGAAATGAGATTAACCTATTTTGTGACCTACTTCTGCCTTTCCATTTTGGGGGCATTCATTTCCATGTTAATTTACTCCTTTTGATAGTAAGTAGAGCTCTGTCTTGGTTGACAGGTTTACTTTAGCATAAGAAATCTCAAAAAAAAAGTCATTTGGGATAAATGCTTCCACAAGAGACAGTTAGATGATGTGTTATGGAACTAGCTTATTTCCTCTAGAATCATGACAGTAGGGTGGCTGAAATCCTTGTTCTAGTGTTGAAGGTAGAAGTTCAAGTTGTTGACGGTAGTAAATATAAATTAAGATAATATTGCAGCACTGGTGGCCACCTTTTCTTTAGCTTAATTATTATTTTGAGAAATAGTCTGTAAAAACATTAATTTTCACCTTTCTCTTTTCTTCTAGTCATGGACTCCTGCCCTGTAGGTCCTTCTGTGAGTCTGCAAAAGAGGGCTGTGAATCAGTCCTGGGGATGGTGAATGCCTCCTGGCCCGAATTCCTCAAATGCTCCCAGTTTAGAAACCAAAGTGAAAACAGCAATGTCAGCAGGATTTGCTTCTCACCACAGCAGGAGAAAGAAAAGCAATGTAGGTGTCTGCATTTTGTTGCATTTTTAAAAGTTTTTTATTGAAGTATACCGTCCATGAAAGGAAGTATACAAATAATGTGTACAGCACAACAAATTTTAACAAAGTGACCAGACCCATGTAACCAGGACCCAGATCAAGAAATAGAATATTAACAGCATCCCAGAAACACAAGCCCCCTCCCAGTGACCTGATCCTCCCAAAAGAGACCTCTATGCAGACTTCTATCAGCTTAGGTAATTCTGCCAACTTCTGAACTTGATATCGACGGAATCGTACAGTATGCATGCCTTTTGTGTTGAACTTCATTTGCTCAACATTATATTTGAGAGGTTCACTGTATTTTCATCTTCTTGTGGTTCATTCATTCTCATTTTTATGGTATTCTAATATATTTTCCATCACAGTATATTTTTCTGTTCTACTGTTGATAGACATTTGAGTTGTTTCCAGCTACTGTGAATGGTGATGCTGTGACTATTCTTATACATGTCTTTGATGGAACATGGTTATGTATTTGTTCAGCAAAAAAGTTTTTTATTTTTTTATTTTTTATTTTTTTTAAACATCTTTATTGGGGTATAATTGCTTTACAATGGTGTGTTAG